GAAGCCCTGTTCTCCACACCCTATGGTCGTATGTACTAGTTTACTTGAAGTATGGCATTATATAGCTCAGATGCATAGTTGTCTGTGCGAAAGATCTTACTGTGATGTCTGTCTTGAATCGATTCCCATTAGCTTGATGTTCTGTATGTTAGTGGTATAATTCACTAGTTTACTCTTCAACCAAATATATGTCGTTTGTAACACTCTCTACAAACACTTTTACCATTTTAAATTATCCTAGCTATATATTTTTATAAACTGAGTGGTTTTATGAACATGTGCATACAATAATATATATAAGCACTTAGTTATGCAATGATACTTTCTGGGCTTCCAGCAATTACAACTACGCGTGTAGTACTAGTGTGTAGGATCCCCTTCATCGTATCATACCTTAACACAGAAGAATTGAGGACACCCTGTATCCCTCTGCCAAATGAACATCCGTCCCAACTAGCCATCAACAACAGGGATTCCACTGGTCCAAGTCCCTTGATTATGTCGCGGTTTTTCTAAGAACCTAGCACTATTCTGCTCTCATCATATCCGTCATACCAGCCGTCCAGCCAACTGGTCATACTACGAGATCCTTTCTTTTGCTGGAGTATAGTAAGCTCGTCTCTGAGAGACCAGTTGTTGATATCCAGCCTTCATAGTTGGGCCAAGGACATAGCTGCTTCCTCGACGAGTCCCCGCTTGATCAGGTATCGAGCAGACTCGAGAAGAAATAGAGCTCCAACAGCACGATTAAAGACCATGCAAACTGAACAGCGATGGGGATGCGATATGAACCACTGTCAGCACGATCCTTGGTAGCGTTGTCGACAATTGCGGCGGTGAACATGCCGACAACAAGGGCAGGTTGATAGACATCAGCAATTAGCCCTTTGATCCAAGGGAGGTGTTGCCGCGGACTGATATGTTTCCTCAGGTTCAAGACATTTCACTCTAAGACACTGCTCTAGAAGGATGGATCGCGAATGTTACCCTTTACTGGTGAGGGTCACATGATAGCCCCATGGCCCAACATTCACAGCATCCAATGTGATTTTGCCCTTCACTTCTTCTCAGCCTCATCTGCGGGTCACCTTCACCTACTACTAGTACTCTGGTAGTATATTCTTCGTTCCTTCAGTACCATTCCACAGCATTCCTCTCCTTTATCCTTAGCCTATATTCTATCTGATACTCAAAGTATCTACATACAATTCACGCACTGCTGGGGGCATTTTAGGTCCTGTGGTTACGGCTAGGTAATACCCAGATTCCTGATGACACGCCTGCGCCATTTAGTCTGCCAGAAGTAATTTTCTTCTCCCAGTTCAGAACTGCGTCCTTCAATATGGAGCCAGGAAAATCAGAAACCCCATCACCGATCCCAGGAACCCTTTCTGCACCGGAGTGGAACGACGCCAAGGACGCCGTAGACTGGTTGATGCAACTCAGAACTGTTATCAAGAGTGTGATCTATCGATACTGTGGAAGACTTCAAGTTGTGCTCCGAATTTTTGAGGAGAACGAGGCCACTCACTATGCCCATTATGAAGCATTACGAGACTTTCTCCAGTCTACCTGGGCCAGGTTGATTGAGCTTATAAACTCGAAAATCATAAAAGCTAACTTCCTATTATCGTCTATCACACATGATGATCTGCTGCGTCCGTTGAGATTAATGCGAGCCCCAAGACAAGCAGGGAAGAGATACATGTAGTAAATGGGCAAATGCGTTCGTTGTATCCGCTGTGCCGAACTCACGCTATTCCAGAGACTATTCTGCCAATTGTTGTGAAAGCTCACAAAAACGAGGATGTTACCATGAGAGCGATTAGGAAGGATCTAAGGGATACTCTTGATATTGACGATCAAAAACATTGGTTTTGTGGCGTTAGTCTTAAGGCACTAGAACCTTCAGTGGTATTTTTTAATTCCGGTGATAAGTACAGCGAACGGGGACAATGAGTTTGGCCCGGGGATCTATGCAACGGATTCCTTCGAAGAGTCATTGGCATACGCGAAAAATGGTGCCTTGATGGTTTTCAAAAACCAAGACTTTAGACAATTGAATGTCTGGGTGCTAACTAAGGAGGAGTGGAATTGCCTCTCAGCCATTTGGCTTGGAATACAAATCCCAAATATTAAGATCATAATATGGTCCAACCACCGCTCCTATATAAACTCTTGATATGACCTCAGTGGCGAATTTAGGCCATGTGTCTGAATTTTATGGCTGTGGTTTCTCTATTGACTAACTGCTGTGATACCTGTTACATGTGGCAAGTTTGACAACCACGTTGCTGTCCCGAGGGTTTGTGTACTACCACCATGGATGCGCCACTTTCGCTTCACTGTGAATGGAACCACTCTACCATCTCAGAGCAGCCTTGGTATGTGAGAACAAGCCGTATTTTAGAAACCATCCACCGCCAGATAGACTTGTAACGGCTATATAATCACCATTTGTGTCAAACTTGTAACCCCAAGACCCCCAAGTACTGGCTTACTCAAGAGGTCTTCAATATTGCATGCTGCATTTTCTGCACCTCTGGCAGGCCCCATCTCTGCATCCATTCACAACTCACCACTTCCTCAATCGTCGCTCTCTCGCTTGGTTCCAGAACCAACATCGACTTTACCATGTCTTGAAACGCATCTCTTTCGTCCTCTGAGAAGGTGTCAAATTTATTCCTCTCCCTTGGATCCTGTGTAGAGTCTGTAAACCGCTGGTTCCAATCCCTGGCGCTGCTGCTATACCACTGACGCAGACTTTCTTTCACATCCTTGCATCCATCCTCATTAAACCAGTTACGTCTTTCCCCCCACTTGCTCCACCACCTTTCAGGGAGTTTACCAAGCATCTCCACATGCTCGATCGTCACCTCATCCAATGTGGCAGGGAAGGCTTCAAAAGGGGGCCTGTCTCCGAAGATATCCCAGACAGTGCAAGCAAGTGTCCATATATCCCCAGAAAAGGAAAGTGGGTCGTCTGGATCCCCAAGCCCAGCGAAGCGAGATTCCGGTGGTGCGAGGAGGAGCGGTGTATGAGCTGCGAACTGCCGCGTCACTTGGGGATCGAACGCTTCTCCAAAATCTGCAATCATGATTTCGGAATCCACAAGTGATATCTCATCACTACCGAGCCCAAGCCAAACCGGGACGATCACTTCTGACGGAACGCCAGGATCGAGGGGAGCACCGTCTTCGCGGATAACTTGCTCTTTGGCGGGCTCGCCCGTACTAGCATACAGCTTCTCGGGAGTCATGTCTTGCATGTCAAGCGGTAAGCGGAGAAGGATATTTCCCAGATGAAGGTCTAGCCGGGGTTATATTGGCTCACACTCTCTAAATTAAGTGCTGAGACGAAGAATCTCAGTATGATAAAACGTACCGCCATGAACGATGCTTTCCGAATGGATAAACTGTAATCCGAGTATAAGTTGTGTGGCAATGGCTCGAGCGGCAGGCAGATGGAGAAGTCGATGATATGCAGCATCCTTCGCTTCATGAAGACTGATTCTAGCAACATCCGTAACCAAACACCGATGGTCACCATTTGGCCCGGAAAATGTGAAGGAATCGAGTAGGTTCTGTACAATTGCTTTCCCCGAAAGGTCAGATTTGGCCTTTTCTAGCTGCGAAAGTATTTGCACCTCATGCATTCGATTAGCTGATTCAGCGGTCGAAATATTCAAGGCAACTAGTCGATTTTGCCGTCTATCTTCAGCCAGCCAGGTCGTAACGGAGCGGCCAAACCCAAGCTTGTGTGTGATGACATACCGACCCGCACTGAATTGATCCCCCAGCAAAACAGGATGGTAACCTCCGGGAACATAGTAGTCTAAGCGCTCAACCTCTTCTACATATTTGTACCTGACTGTGCTGGGCTCCATACGTGTGGCTATCATCCTGTGAGGTTGTACGTTGAAAACCTTAGCCAGTTGACTAGATGGCCGAGGTACATAGGATCCTAGTTTTTGAAACTGAACAGATACAATTCCCGTTTGTTTAGCCATAATGTTGAGAAGCGAAGTGGGTTGAAGTGGTGAGTGAACAAGGGGGCCAGGTGATGCTGGAATTATTAGATAATCAAAGATAAAACATTGTAACTACTAAGTTGTATCAGACAACAAAACAAAAGCTATTGTAGTGGTATGTCTAGAAAGGCTTGGCTAAATTTTCAAATATTTCAGGATGATACGTAGTTTTCTTTCACGCCGCATACAAGCTTAAGCTTATTATAGTTATTTGATTCTTTATCTTGAATATAGACTAGACTGACATTTACATATGATACTTATAGGTGGGTTATAACTTGGTCTTGTGCGTCGTAGGCTCTGCTAATTTAATACAGTCGATACCCACATTCCGCACGCATCTTACATCCTGTCAGTGTCGTCCTGATATACGCATCCTTAAGTCCCACTGAAACAGAATATGGGATGCGTGCTCAGATACTTGAGGATTATATGGCCGACACACAGCTCATCAAAGCCAAACGAGTCACACACCGCTATGAATGGCTATTTAGAAACACATTTTACCCTCGAAATTTATGAAGACCAGCTATGGGCAGCTCTCCAGGCCCCTGTACCTGTCCATGCGCCTATCAAAGATTGATGGTTGAAACTAGACTGCAATATAGTCGGGGCTGTATAAATCCTTCTACCACCAGAACAAGCTCTTGTAATACGCTAGAATCAGTAGTAGAATAGTCCCAGAAAGCCGTTATCTCTACAGAATACTACTGAATGAACATGTATGTATATATAGGTAGTAAGAATATTAGACATTCTCTAAAAGTGTTATTCCTCAGCATGTCCGTTCGGATCCGCAACACATATTACCAGTTTTCCCCTTGCATGCTTGCCAGCCATAACGTGGAATGCCTGTTCTTCACATTAGTGCATCGATCCGTTTAATAAAGACCATGACCTACCTGAACAGCATCCTCAAATGACCATGTATCTCCTATCAAAACACCCAATTGACCGGCCTCACATAGCTTTCTTAGCCTCTCAAGCTTGTCCGTACTAACCACAGCTGTAACCTGTCTATATTCCCGGTCTACCCCGCCCGCCCAAACAGGCAGGAAATTATTCAAACCCATTTTCAGCAGACATGCAAACATGCCCAAGTAAGTATAAGATTCCAGCACCGGTCCAACCGATGTATACGTGTGCTCCACTCCGGGTTTCAGAATTGCAGGCGACGAATACCACAGATCCTGAGATCCACGGGCATCGATGACCTTGTCGAACGGTCCATCCCCGTATACCTCCCTAGCCGTAGTGGTAGATGAGTCACCCGAAGTGTCGTATACCACAACATCATCGCAACCGAGCGTTTTCGCCACGTCGAAAGAAGCAGCAGAGCACCTACCTACAACACGCCCATCATCGGCGACAATCTGAGACACAAGTTGCGTGACGAGGTGTCCGACCCCCCCACTCGGAGCATTAACGAGTACCCGATCACTGGGTCGGATATCCGCAGCATCCATAAGTGTGAGAGCAGTTGTACCCGAGACGGGTAAACCCGCCGCCTGCGCGAAGGAGATATTGGCTGGTTTGCGAGCGATGCAATCCACATCCACAACGAGATACTCTGCCAAGGCTCCGGCACCTTTCAGATGTTGCCCGACGGGAATGGACCCGAATACAGGCGTCCCGGGCGGGAAGTACCGGTGCGCATTGTCTGGGTTGGGGGTAACTGGGACCTCCTTGCCCGTTTCGATGATCACTCCCGAGAAGTCTGTTTCTGCAATGCAGGGCGTCGTTCGAAAGATACATGGGATAAGGTTCATCATTATGGTTGTGCCGGGGTGCAGGGCCACATGGGTTATGCGGATGAGTACATCGGTGCTGGTGCCTAGGGTGGGAATGGGGTGCTGTTGGGATAGTTGGAGGACTCGTTCAGCGGAACCTGCGCGAGTGAACGTCCATGCTTTCATGGAAGTGGGGAGTGAACGAGCCATGTGTTGGGATATTGTAGCCATATTTGGTTTGAAATGTCCCCCCCGGGTAAAAGCTGGGATGTGGCAAAGCAGAGTGAGATATACTATCCTCCCCTCGTATTTTAACTTTGTGGCTCTTTGTCTTCCTGCCATCACTCGGTTCATTGCTTTATCTTTGTGTCTATTTTACGCGAATATACGGGGTAGACAAAAGAATTGACCTAAAAAGGAAATAGAATATTAGTAGTATGACTGTTCTTACGTCGGGCTAGCTATGGACGTCTTGCTGCTCTTAGAGTCAAGCTGCTCTTTTCCTATCAAAGAAAATAATTCTCTGGCTACGCGGGAACATTTTATTGCTCACAGTCTAGAGTAGCTTTAGCAAGCAGTATTCAAAGAGTGAAAGTGGGTAGAAACTTTGAATGATAGATATCCCTAGTTTTACTCGTAATATTGTCAGCGATCTAGCTTTCATCTAGTCCTTTGTCTCTGTTAAATAAACGATTGTAAATAAGAAAAACCAGTTCAATACTTAATCTAAACCAGTCTTACCATCCTTTAAAACAACAACACCTATAATACATAACTCTGTCACCTCCAGTTGCACCCCATATCAGTCTCACCCCGGAAAGGTGATAATTCTGGAAGGGTACACTACTTAAGATACAGAATTGTCGTGCTCTCTCTGGAGAGTATGATTTATTAGCCAACCCAATGATAGCCCTAGCTCCATGCTATGTTTGGTTTATAGTAAAGAATTCCCTACCAACGATAGATCTACTATCTAGGGAATGCAGGAAGTATAATCAATGCGACGGGCAGTTGTCAGATGTCAAGCTCTTCATGCATATTTTATTTCGATGCCGAAACTATACTGGAAGTTCCGAAGTCAAGTTCAGCATCTATCTGTGGGAAGTTGCACAGGCTAAAAAGAACGACTGCATCAATAACAGTACGCTAAAAGCGGCAGATATACCCTCTACACAAGCTATATATCGTCCCACGATAGGACTGCCTTCACGGCCTGTGATTGAAGATGTTAGTTTTATTTTATGCAAGGGAAGGGATAATTTCGCAACCCGACACCTTCTGGATGGAAAGAGAAAGGTAACTTACTGATCCTGATTTCAAATCTTCCAATGCTTCGGTCAGACATCCAGCCGGATAGCACTTTGTAAATCGGTTAACAGGAAATTTCCCTTCATTAAACAATTGCACCAGCCGAGGTATTAACTGGGATACTCCGTCAGTCCAGTGTATTTCACAGAATATAAGCAGACCAGAGAATGAAAAAAAAAAGAAA